CATGCGATGCCTCCACTCCCAACATATGTCACCATCCCCAGTCCATTTCCTATCTAACCACAATCAAGTGTTCACAGAGGCTCACTGTTCCCCAAAACCAAAGTTCCACTAAACATTTACAAGCTCCATGAAGACACAACAGCTGGACAGAGGGAGTACACCCTTTAACTACTCTAATGGAGTGAAAAGCAGCATCACACTTTCACTTATTAATCACAAGAGCATCCAAGGTGTCTTCAAGATTGAAGCACAGTAAAGTTTTCAACTTCATTATTAATAAGAAAATATTTCCATAGGTTAATATAGTAGCTGAAAAGATGGCTTACTGGTTTAAGAAACAGGACTGGTTATCTTAGCTGCTCCCATTTCTGCACTCCCCAGTAAACTGATATTTATGTACTACTTGAGAAGAGCATGAGTGAGGTGATGCTTTAGCAGTGCACCCTTTTTAATACAACTAGACTTAAATTTCAGTGGCCGACATTTAAGTATTAAAATATGTTAAGTTTTTCTACTTCTGAAAGGAACTGTAAGAAATAAACTTGAGTTTAACCAATAATGCTATTGAAACAGCTAACATAAAAAAATCCTTTGAGTAGGGTTTACTGTATTCTGGAATGAATCAGCAAGAGTCTAGCTTCAATTTCTCCTCAACTGTCATGTGTAAATGCCTCAGGGTGTCTGACAGTGTCAGAAGAATTAGCATAAACTTGCTAAGTTAACTAAGTACCAAAAGCATTAAAAAAAAAAAAAAGTTAAAAAAGCGCCCCATGAAATATCTTAATCAAAGAGTTCCATAACAAAAATCACCAACATAATGAATATTAAAATGTCATAGAACTTTCCCTAGAACCGTAGCTTCACTTAAAATATTTCAGGTAACTATTTCCAACAATCTCATTCGTTATCTCAGAATGTCTTCGAAATTTTAGGTCAAAACCAGTCATGTTCTATTGAAAGCTGTTTAATGTGAAGTTGAAGTCTGACTTATGTGTACCAGAGTGTCTCAAGACATCCTCGACACTGTCCAAAACCCAACTATTTAAATACTTAAAAATGGAATTCCTTTGATACGCTGCCAAATTATCAATGTTGCCCTGAAGGATGAAAATGAGGTTTTCTTGGAGAAATTTACACAAGGTGATGCCTCTTAATATTTACCGATTTCACCATATGTACTGAAGGAAGAAGCTGTGCAACTACTTAATCTCTAAAGCTCATCAGATTCTGGATTTTTTTTTTGTCAAGTGTTTTTTTTTTCTTGAGTGGGGTTAGGTTTAGGGTTTTTCTAAGGTGTGGGTCTTTTTGTTTCTGCCCCCTCAATCTGGACAATACATACAAACAATACAACTATGTATCAGTCAAAACTGATCAAATTTCCAAAAGCTAATTCAGTTTTGCAGACTACATGAAAAGCTGCATTCTTCTCCAGAGCTTCTAAAATTAAATTTGCCCTGACTGCATAACCATACAATGATGTCCATAACTAATGGATGAACATGACCAGGGGCACAGCTAGATGAAAAATAATGAAGGAAGAGTCAGTAGATCAGTTTCACAATCTGCCTTGCTGAAAAGCTGAACAATTTACATTGACACACAGCTTAAGAATGAAATACTACCTGTGTCAACATTGGCTTAGAAAAATTGCTTGTCAACCCTCCTTTGCAAAATGCTCAGTTTCTCTCTCCTCTGAATTGCAAGTGTTTACAAGCACAAAAATCAAGATGGGGCTACAGAACTACTCATGCTTAAAATCTGTCACATCTCTACCCATCTAAACTGTATTCTTTAAGAAATTAATGTAAGCCTACCATACACTTTTTAATTGGTCACTTTTAGGAAGAATTTCTTCACAGAAAGGGTGATTAGCCATTGAAATGGACTGCCAAGAGATGTGGCAGTCACCACCCCTGACAGTTTTAAGGAAAGGCTGGATGCAGCACTTACTGCCGTGGTCTTATAGACACAGTGGTGTCTGGTCAAAGACTGGATGAGATCTCAAGAGGTCTTTTCCAACTTAATTGATCCTGTGATTCTACCTTTGCTAACTAGGAATACGGAGCAAGGGAGAAAACTCAAAATATCTAAATCCCAGTGCCATTCAATTACTGAAAAAAAAAGTGGCAAGTTTTATTTCTGCATTTCCACTGAAGAATGTTTTAGTCCAACAAACTAAAATGCTTCTTTTTTAACCATGATTATCAATGATTATATCAACTACTCTGCCAGAGATCAACTGTCTGCCAGAGATCAAGAACATCAACTAACTGGGGAATAAAAAAGCCCAACAAAACATAGACGAAAAAATTGAACTTGACTCTAGTGCTCTACACTAGAGATTGAACTGATGCAGCTTTGCAGCACCACACTGCATCCCTGCACCAAGCACATTAGGGCAGCAGTGAGAGCCGCCCTAATTTTCTGAACCGGGCTGCCTGTATGAAATGCCGCATCTGCCATGTCTGCAAAAAAAGACCACCCAGATCTTAAGTGTACCGTGGATGTACTTATTTGATAGCTATGAACACAAGCCACTGTGACCAAAAGGCTTTACCATGGACTGGACATAAGGAAGAATTTTTTTATGGTGACAGGACTGAGGAGGCATTGGCACAGGTTGCCCAGAGATGTTGGGAATGCCCCATCCCTGGACGTGTTCAAGGACAGAGGCTGGGAGTAACCTGGTCTACTAGAATGTGTCTCTGCCCTTGGCAGGGGGCTGGAATGAGATGAGGTTTAATGCCTATTCTAATCCAAACAATTTTGTGATTTTTGTGACTAGTAGAGTAACCCTGTGATATTCTGCACGTTGTGGTACTTTCCTTCCACCTTGTGGAATTTCTTTCCTGTTCCATAATACAACACACATGTGTACAACATACAATAGTGTGAAGAGAGCAGTTGCTGACCTTTTAGTTCACAAGATAATATGGCTCTGGCTCCCAGCTGAGTCTTCACTTTTAATTCTGTTTTCAGTTGGCACACCAAAGCAAGAAGCAGATGGATTCAGCCCCACTCCTGGTACTCCAAATTCACACAACCAGCCCGCCTATCTCAGCCCTCAATACCGACTCCAGTTTTTTTCCTCCTTGTCCTTATTTACTGGAAATTCAAATTAGAATTAAACCCCGAAAGTTTCAGGCGGGCACACAGCGGATGACAAGGTAGCGTGGTCGGCGTGCACGGCACTCGCGGGTTTCTCCTGCCCGAGAGGCTCCCGGAGCCCGGGCCCGCCCCGCCGCTTTTCTCCAGGGCGCTATCGCGGCCCCGAGGGCGGCTCCCGCCGCGGGCCGGAGCAGGCGGACGAGAAGCCACCAGGGGCACAGTGCGGGGAGCCGAGGAGCCGCCGGCGAGCCCGCCCCGCGGGCCTCCGGTGTCCTCCTCAGCGTCCCGGCAACGCAGGCACCCACCCACCTCGTCCAGGAACTTGGTGACATCGTAGATGCGGTGGTGGAGGATGATCCAGGTGCTCTGACTGTTGTTGTGCTTCTGCACCTCCTCCAGGCGGTAGTAGCGGCCCCGCCACGGCTCTTTCCCGGTCTCGCTGGAGCCCACCATGTCCGGTTCGGTTTGGTCCTGTCCTGTTCTGTCTTGTCTTATCTTGTTTTGCCCCACACCGCACTCGCCACAAGCTGATATCCCGCACACGGCCAGGGCTCCGCCACAGGCCCTATCACCGCCCGCCACCGCCCCGCCCCTCTCTTCCCGCCGGCCTCTCATTGGCGGAGAGCAATGCCACTCAAAGCAGACGGGCAGTCTGTGGGCGGCCGTGGCTGCCGGGGGCGGGACTTTGTCGCCATGCCTCGCCCACTCCGCCGTCCCACGTGACCGGTCGCTGGCGGGTGGGGCGGGGCTGGGGCGCTGCTGGGACAGCCCCCGCTGGTCGCCGTCGGGCCGTGGCCGCTGCCGGGCGCTGGAGTCGCGGCTTCTCTATCGCTTCCTGGGGTGGTCAACCTAGCGTTCGCCACCTTTGGCAGCGGCGGGCTGCGGGGCTGCCGGTGTGCGCTGCGACGAGCTAATCGCCGACTTGCAATGTAGAACCACATTGGAATGGTTTGGGTTGGAAGTGACCTTTTAGGTCATCTAGTTCCAGTTCCCCTGCTATGAGTACCACGAGTCCCACGTAGTTCAAAGTCTGATCCAGCCTAGCCTTGAACCCTTTCCACTACAAGAAAGATAAGGAGGTGCTGGAGAGTGAACAGCACAGGGCCTCAAAGATGTTTAGGAGCATACAGCGCTTCATACGGGAAGAGACTCAGGGAGCTGTCAGACTCTTTTCAGTGAGACAGGACGAGGAGCAATGGCCATAAACTAAAAAACAAGAAGTTTCAGCTTAACATGAAGACCTTTACATTGAGAGTGGCAAGAAATGGGCCGGTCGGGGCTGTCCAGGGAGGTCGTGGAGCCTCCCTCTCTGGAGACATTCCAGACCGACCTGTACGTGTTCCTGTGAAGCCTGATCAGGTGACCCTGCTTTGGCAGGAGCGTTGGACTAGATGATCTCCAGAGGTCACTTCCAACCCTAATAATCTGTGACTCAGGCTCCCTGGTTAGCCTGTTTCAGTGCCTCAGCACCCTCGCAGTAAAGATTTGTTTCCTAACATCTAAGATGGATTATCCTCGTGCTTCTGTGCTAAAGCCGGCTGGCGCCCCGGCTCGGCGAAGAGCTCCTGTGCCCGGCTAAAGCGCCTTTGCCATGGGCAGAGGTAGCGCCGAGAGCGGGCGTCGAGAATTCGGCTGTGCCGGGGCTCTGGCCGGCGCTGTGACCGCCCGCTGCGCTCTCCTGCCGGTGTCCCGACAGGCAGGGGCTGCCCGGGAAGTCACACATGTTCCCTGATCCCGGCAGGCGGCGGTGCCCAAGGGCAGGGGGCGCGCGGCTGCCGCTTTTCCCGCGCAGCCCGTGAGGTGATCCCGGCGGGAGAACCCCTGCCACAGGCGCTTCCTCCCAGCTCCTCAAAACCTCCCGGCTGGGAGAACTGTCCCGCGGGGCTTGGAGAGAGACTTCCCTGTGGCACTGGCCTGCCTTGCTGCCAGGTGGGCTGAAGGCACAGGGAGCAGTGCCTTCCACTTCTCTCGGTGAGGCTTCTGATTTCTGAGAATCACCATCCTGTTTCCCTTCAGTTTTGGCTGAGGTAAATTTGTTTCCTTTCCTCTTGTCTCAGATGTATTCGGTGGTCTTGTCTGTATTTCAGGCCAGGTATGGGTCCCCATATCCCCATGTCACGTCCATACACAATTTGGGTGCCTCAGCAGCAATAGCCCCATGGACACACTCAGGCATGATTAGAGGCTGGATTTGCGGGTTTTTTTGTAGCATAAAACTTCCCCTGTCACCCTTCCTGAAAGTTGGTGCTTAATTTCTGCAGCCTGAGCCTGAGTGCAGGACAGCTTCGTACTTCACTGAATGCCACCACTATCTTCAGATCCTGCCTCAATTTTTTAGTCATCCTGACAGTAAGAGTAGCTACTCTCCCTCCGATTGGTGTTGTGCCCAGCTTCAGTGAGGAGGTTCTTCATTCCGATTTCCAGGTTGTTATTGAAAATTGCAAATAGTGCTGTCAAGCTCTGGGGTTTAGTTGCCTGTTCCGACAGAAAAGACAGCAATAGCCATTCCCTGACTGATGTTCCATCCAGTTTAGCAGGAGCTCAGCGATGGTTTCAAGTTCACATGCTGGGATTATTGGCTTGTAAAGGTTTCTTCCACAGCAATTCTCAATGTACAGTTTCTCCCACACACGTAAAGTCCTCTTGTACAGAGGGCGGTTGTTTATTTCCAATGATTTATAACCAGTAGCTCTTTCTTAACTGGCAGTTCTGTGTTATCTGCTACTTTTCTCTTTATCCTCTCCCCTGAAGGGAGAAGCTTTTTGCAAGCACTCTGTCCCATTAGCTTTTAAGATGTCTGGGAAGATTTAACTTAGGCTTAATACAGCAAGTTGTTCCCACAGGGGAGTCATCCCCGAAAAGCAAGCAGGGCACTGGAGCGTTGTAGCATGTGTTTTACAACATCTCTGCCACAAAAATCCCCCAATAAACATTATGAAAGCTGAGGACTCATGCGTTCTTTTCCATGGTTGCATAAGGACAATATTTTATTTTTTTTTTCTCATTTGTTTAAAATTGAGCTTTCCCTTGAGCTGTAGCTTTTGGAATTCTCTGATGAAGTGATAGTCTTGGCTGACATTTAAAAAAAACCCTACTTTTCATGACTGCCGAAAAAAATTGAAATGTGTTTTCCTTTAAAGGTAAGAAGTAAGAAAACATTCTTTTCTTTTAAATGACAGTTGTAAAAATTTTTAAATGACAGTTATAAAACCTTGTGATTTTTCTTGGATTTGACAGAGGTTAATCTGTTTAAAGTGTTACACTGTAAAAAAAGCAAAGCAAAATCAGAACAGCAAAGGTATCTTTGACATTGTTCCTCAAAATATGTTTCCAGTTCATAATTGTTTTATCACAATTTACAAATTTGAATACCAGGTGAATACCTGGCAAATTCATAAAATTTGGGAAAAAAAAATTTATTGCTGTCTTCACTGTGCCAGTAAGACCATTTCCCAAAATTGTTTTAGGGTTTGGAGAGGGGAAAAATATTAAACCAGCTTTTTCTGGTGAGCAGTGTTTGTTCCTGGCTTTCTAACTACCTGTATTTCTTTGAAATACTTTGGTTGAAAAAGGTGGTACAGTTAAAAGGTGCATTTTTCTTCAAATAATGAAATGTTAGATTTATGTATTTTTTTTTGTCATGAATAATCTAACTCATTACACTGAGCCTGGCCTGTGCTGCAGGGCAGACGAGCACACAACAGGGACCCAGCAAGATGGATAATATAAATTCATGTTATTCCCATTCACATGTTTGTTAGTACTGCATCAAAGAATCATATTCTTAGTCTGAAATTCTGGTTGTTTGGGTTCTTTTCAGTGGTTTTTAGGAGGTTCCAAAATGACTGAGTTCCATTGCATGTGCTCAGTTAATGTGGCAAGGATCATACATGTACTCTATTCTTTTGTCCTTGTCTTTACTCTGAATATTTTGGCTCTTGCAAATAATTATTTTGTCAAGTATAATACATTACATATAGAAAAAGGATATTCAGCTATGGTTTAGCTGACCAAATTATGTTATATTTTCTCTATATTCTTAATCAAAATATAATTGATTATTAATTTACCTAATAACATATAAAGTCCTGTAAACAAATACCAGCCTTAAAAAATGAATTTTTTTTTTTTATTTTAAGACCCAGGTACTGCTTTGGGGCAATCAACAACATACCATGAATAGCACCAGACACCAGTCTCTGTTCTTTGTCAGTCTGCCTGAGCTGCAAAAACTCTGTGCTGCAACAGTAACACTGAGTTCTCAGATACCAGAAAGTGAGGCAAGGAGTACACAGATAAAGACTTGCAGGTAAAGAGTTTTGAGGGCTCTTATTTCCAGAAGCTGCTAGTGGTTGTTATTCAAATATTTTATTAGCAGTACAAGAATTAACTCTAATAAAATCAGCAAAATTCTTATCAGTGGCAAGCAGTACAAAAATGTTTAATATAGGTTTTTATTTTCTTGAGCAGGGGACTCGCTGGCTATTGGGGAACAAAAAAATAATTTCTATTATGGTTTAAATTTTACAGGCTAAAACTAACTAATCCACATACTTCAAATAAATAAACAGGCAAAATTAATCTGTTTACCTGCAATGCTGGGATGCTTTGTGTAGGTTGAGACTAAGCAAAAAGATTATCTGGAAAGCAGATGTAAGCTTCTTGGCATCCACCGAGTATTCTGTTGTTCCCTTTAAAAGAAAAGGGGAGAAATGAGAAATTCTGCCAAAAGGAACACTTTTGGGAAACTCCATTTGTGTGCCAAAGGCCTGTAATCTTTGTCTTAGGCTGTTGTGGGTCACCTAGAGCAAGTAACTTGGACTAGTCCAATTATACTGAACCAATGGAAACTGATAAAGGTGGAATGTACTGTATTTGTAAAAGGTAAGGAAAATAAATTTAAGCTGGGAAAAAGAAAACGTTTTTATTTTCTTTCTCACCTTTTTCTTAGACAATTATTATTCCTGTATCAAGAAGTCCTTTCTGCACCTGTTATGGGGACACTGAATCAAATTTCGGTTGTGATGGCGGTCAGTATCACTGTGTAAATAAGTATCTGTAATTACAGACTGCTGTAGATAAGCAGAGTGCACCTCACTCAAAAGAGAGAAGTTTCCCTATGTTTTATTGAGGTAAAGTAATAATTTGACAGAGTTGGATGGGTCTGATGAAATTTAGCAAAGTTTTAACAGTGTTCAGGACAAGGTTCAGGAAGTTTGATGCCAAGGTTTACCTTAATAATTACACATGGAAGAAACATGAAAAGGGAAACTGAGTTAGAATGACTAACTCTAGAGGGAGACAGAGGTGCAAAAGAGTAAAGAGGGCCCTCCTGTTGAGACATGAGGTTCAGAGTGGATTCCTTTTTGGATTTCATTTTTGGAGCCTATGTGTGGCTGTAGCCAATCTTTGTCTCAAACTCTGACAACAATTCATGTCTAATTGAATTATCCCTACCATGTTTATAGTACCTCAGTAGCTGCATGGATTAGTAATTCTTCATAGCATGAATTCAGCATGCTTTCAGTCACTGCAGATCACAGGAAAATGGTCTTCTGACCTCTTGTAAGAAAGGTTCTCTTAATTTCCAGTATAGAATCTCTAAACTTCAGAGGAGTCCCTGCTCCAACAGAATCACCTGCCATGCAGGCCAGCTGTTGTACAGTCTGGCCATTCAGGGTGTGCTCAGATTGGGCTCATCCTGATTTTAATATTTAAAGGGTGAAATAGTTGGCTTCTAATCAGTAGTATGGGCAAGACAGATGTCTTTGATTTAGTGCTGATAGTTCTTTCTGTACTTTGGTCATCTTGTACTTTTGGGTTTCAAAAACACCTTTTGAAATATTTTTCAAGATACCTTCACTCCCTTGTAGGTGAGCCAGGGACTTTTCAGCTTGCAAGTTCATCCCAAGGATGTGAGGCCTGTTGCTTCTTGGTCAGTCTGAACCAGAGTATGGACAGGGTCTGTTGTATTTGTCACACATACATGTTATGTTTCTCTAAGAAGTGTTTTTTTTGAGGATCAAGGTTAAGTAAAAATATTTCATTTAAAACAGGCTTTTATTTTTTTGCGTTAGTGGTGTAGTGGCAACTTAAGTCCTTTTTTTTTTTTTTTTTGATTAAATGGCCTTTTCAGATGGTGAACCAATCTGTGGAATGAAATGGATTAAATTGGTAAAGTGCCACCCAATTCATAAGGAGAGAAGGAGCATTCAGAGTTCTGCAGCTTTGTTTTGGGAAGTCTTTGGCTTGCTTGGCTTGTTTGTGAGTGTGTCTTTAGCTAGACATGAGATTACAGTATGGCAAACACCTGAGCTAATTTTAGTTTTCTCCTTTAAAACACAGGATAAAGTGTTGGCTTAACTATTCCCTTGCATGGTTTTCAAAGGGAAAATCACTGTTGTACTAGAATTTAATTTATGCTTAATACCAAGCACTTGATTTATTTTTTTATTGTTACTTTTAGATACCATTTTACGAATCAGGAATATGTCAAGCCTATGTAGAGAGACACGGAGCTACTGTAAGTGCTGAAATGTTACACAGTTCTTTAGACGGTTACACTTGTCTGCAATTTCTGTTGTCAGAGATGAGTATTTTTCATAGGCCCTGCAGTTTGCACTACAGAAGCCGAGTTTCAGGGTTAATAAGTCTGCCCCATAGACAAAGTATGTCCTGTGAATTGGGGCATGGTAATTATACTTTGTCAAATTCAAAAGTTTTAAGAAGTTTGTGAGAAATACCTCTATATTTCTCTGCTGAAGTGGCATCCTGCTCCTGCTCAGAGGCATTGGGGACTGACCTCGAGACAACCTTTGGCCAGAGACCTGCAGCTCTCCTGTTGGTGTCATCCCCTTCATCCAGTGGGAATGTTCAGGCAGCTGAACTGTCTCCCCATTCACCTTTGGGTTTACCCAGCCTATACAGGGCAGTCTCAGGGAAACAAAACGAAAGTATAGAGAAGAAATGGAATCTGAGCTGATATATTTTTAGACCGTATGATATGCATGTGATTTACTATTGTCTAGTGTGCAACATCTATGGGGTTTATTAATGCATATGTGGATGCACTAAAATTGCTGAGTCAGAAGACCGATTGTAACCAAAGCCAGTCACTCTCATAATTCATTTGCACAGCCAGCTGGGTGTATTTTAATTCGTTCCAAGAAGTGCAAATGCATATGCAGATCAGTAAAGACATACACTGTTCAAATATGCTTACCTTACAGAGCGGCTTTATGTTGATATGTGTTGGTAACTGTCAATGTTAGGTTTTCCGACACCAAGCAATTCCTTGCAGGATTCATTAGAAACATCCTTCTAGAGATGTATTAGTTAACTTTTTAACCTACTATTGTTAGTTTCTTGACTAATGCTGATGGTTAAGAGAAAGCTCTGCAGGACAGGCAGGCAAGTAGAACTGTTGGGTGAGCAAAACTACATTTATTTACTGTGATTGCCAGAAAATGTCTCTGGTCTTGACTCTGACAGCAGAGGTAATATCAGCTTCGGATGTTGTGCCTGTTGTCTGGAGGAAGTTGCATATCTAGTAAAGTACTCCAGAGGGTTCAATTATCTTTTCCCTGAGTCCATTATCAGCCCTGTGAAAGCATTCTAGGAACTATCGTGCACCTCACTTTAATGGCGCGTGAAATCCAAATGTCTGCATCAAATACTATGCTACCTTCCTCTTGTAGCTAAGTAGATGAAAGCTAAACATGTGTGGCACATACTAGGATTTTTCTCCAAGATGAAGTAGCAGTATATTTGCTTAAATATTGACTCAGGCCTTTAAAAAAATCTGTTAAATTATTAAAAATGTATGCTTCTTTTTGTCTCTGTTATTGTTAGCTGGAAGCACTGCAAACAGTTACTCCAGCCGTTCTCCAAACCTGTCTCTCCTACACACTTACAGCCAGGCTTGCACCCAGATGGAACAAGGCTGGTCATCTCTTGGTGCAAGGTATTTGATTCACCTGGGTCAGGGATCAAGCATTTAGTTTCAATTCATTATTGTAGCATTTATTTTCCATTATTTAAATTCCATAATTATTTCATTCATTATAATAAATTGTTTCATTCCTTTATCCTATTACTTTTTTCTTTATTTGCACTTTCATTTTGTTATCCAAGTTCAATGACTCAAGTTAATATTCTGAATGGACATGCCAATCACCTTTTCATCTTCTTCCTTATCTTTGTAATACATCAAATATTTATGTCAACTGAATGCAATGTACTAGATGAAATCAAATATTGTTGGACAGAGAATGTCTTCTAAAAATTTGGCCTGTTTCTCAGATTTCTCAGTGACACTTCTGCACATGATTTGTAGGCTTTTCTAAACAGAACCGGTTTTCTCTCAGACCCTCTCCTTCTACCAAGCTCTGTCTTTTTTGGATCATAGTTGCTTTGCCTGACATCTCTGCTAACTCCTGTGTAGTATAAATGTGAATTACCAAAGTATAAAAAACTACAGTGTAGCTTGTAATAATTAGAACAATTGTATACATAATTTCAAATATTTGTTGAGAGAAGTGTGCATGTTGTTATCTTAATTCCAGCCACAATAACAACAACATTCTCTTCTCAGCATCTTCAAAACATATGGGTCTCAGGATGAAATCAGCCGATTCAGGAGAAGCAGCTGAAGTAGAGGATTAGGAGGAAAAAGTGATGTATAGATTGCTGCCCACTAATTTACTTTTTTATATGTCTCTTTCTTGTAGAAGATGTTAATGAATCAGTGAAAAGTTAATTGAATGAGAGGATTTTCTCTCCTTAGAAGGAACACACCTTTCAACATTTGTGATAGACACAAACAAAACTGTGTGGTTTCTCCTTTTTTTTTTCACATAAAGACTTTAGAGATATGGTTTAGAATATAATGTCTGTCTATTCTATTTATTAAGGGAAAGACTTTTTGTGTCATTCAGGAAGGCAAAATGCTGTTGGTAAGTACAATATTCTGTTAATGGTAAAGTTGAGAGAGCAAGGTAAAGTTAAGTAACTGACACAATCTTGGTATTACCAGCACAGGGTCTTTGGTTTTCATTCTGAAATAACTTCTGTCAAAATACACTTGGTGGCAGGTGGTGTTCTGTCTTTAATTGTTGTCAGCTCAACTGAACATTTGAAAAATTAGTCACAAAATAATTTTTATACTTTTTATCTAGAGCCCTAGATTGACATTTGCCATTTTAAAGTTATAATTATTGCAATTAAATGTACTTACCCTTAATTATGAGTCTTGCAAGTGATGTGAAAGTTCCATATTAATAGATAGGAAAATGAGCTATAGTGACTGTCCAGTATGTACTGTGTGCTGTTCACAAAACTGAAGTCACAAAGCATGGTGGCTAGCTATTGCAAAAATTACAGAGTAATATTTTTATTCCAGTATAAAAGTTAAAGGTTACATTTGAGGATATTGGAGCCTAAAATTGTAGCAGAGATATGTGTTGAGGAACTCAGAGCTGAGTGAAAGTTCTGGAGATGTGTCTATAAATGCTCGCCTTGCTCATTTAGTATTTCCTGTTGACAGCTCCTGGATGGAAAATACTGGTCTGAGTGATTGAGTGCAGCAAATGGTTATATTAACTACATCTGCTCTGAAAATGGGTGTTTGTTTGTCAAGGACATGAGTATCAAGCACACAGTTGCACAGACAGCCTTGAGTTTCTGAGTTACTGTATGATAGGAATTAATTATTATTCTTATTTTTCACAGTTAAAATGCACCTAATTCTAATTTCTGTGCTGAGAAAGTCTTGCCTTTTGATTTTCAAGCACAGCATTTTGACTAACAATTACCTTAAATAAATATTTGGGTTAGCTTTCTGCCTAAGAGATGAGCTGTAATTCAAAACAGGACATTGTGCTTTTTTTTTTAAATTTAGTTATAGACCTCAATGTGTCAGAGAGACAGCTTTGCATCAGTGTGGAGCCTTGCTCAATTCGGCTGCCACCCCCCAAGGTATAAACCAGTTATATTTCCTATGACTGTGTCTGTTTTATTAATCTTCTTTTCTTCTAATTTTCTTTTCTGTTAGGTGACTTACAGTTAGCATGGTGGGGATAGAAGTGCTTATTTCTGATTGCACTGAGACATTAACCATATTCATTTGACTATCTGCACAGGTTATGAAAGCATAACTTTGTATTGTATCTATATTGATGCATTCTAGCAAGCATTGTAAAACTGAGATTCAAGGCTAAGAGAGCTTTCAAAAATACTAACAGAATATAGCAGTGATGTGTCTTTGTGGCTCTAGATTTCCTTCTAGCAGTGTTTTCAAGAAAGCTTTCAGTCACACTGTAGTACATAGACGGTTTTTAGTAACAGGGCAACTACAAGTGAGTTGTCAGCACCATGTTCAAAATCTCTTTTTATAGTTACTATGGAATCTGCTTAATTTCTATGCAGCTTCGAAAATACTGGAGCAGCCAGGACTATGCTGCTTGTAAGCTTAATTTATACATTGTTTAAGAAATCATGGCTGAGGTTGACAACTTACTAGCCTTTTTGACAACCGTACCACCTGTGGTGAATATGTCCTTACATGCAGGGCATATTTGTCAGGCTTGCTGGTTTCTTCTAAAATAAATATTTCTCATCCAAGCTCTTCTTTGCTGAAAGAGGAGAATAGGATTTCTTCTGAGACCTGCTTAGGACAGCATAAACATTAAAGCTATCTATAAGAAGCCAGTTCCCAAATGAAACAGACCAATGATGGAAAAGATCATGATGTGGCTTTATTATCAGTTTCATCCTTTCAATACTTTTCTAAAACAGAAATGTCCAGATTTTCTTGTCAGTGAATAAATGCAAACCCTCATAGATATTATAGAAAGACGAGATGTTTCTCAAATCTCAGTCTTTGATTGTCCACTACAGTCAAATTCTGACATTATGAAAAAGTATGGTGTTTTTTGACTTCTCAGAGGATGAAACTGCATGTCCCATTGATTGTGTTCCTTGGACATTTGCACATGCTTAGTCAAAGTGACACACACAGTTACTAGAATGCCGAGCATGGGTGTCTGATTTGAGCTTTTTAAAAATGTGCATGGAAGTGAGACAGCTCTCAGTTTGAGAAATTAGTTCTATACTCCTATTAAACCATTTCAAATAAAGTTTAAATCTCACTGATTTCAATAAACTTTAAACCTTGTACTGGCACGATTTGTGGAAGTGTAGGCTCTAACAGAAGATAGTGTGCAATTTGATGATGGGAATATCAAATTTGTGAGAGCTGATGGAAGAATAATAATATATCAAGTTTCAGTGTATGGTGATACACAATTATTTCTGAAAATTTTATATTTGTACTGCTATAGAATTATTTGCAAATAAACCTTCTTTTCTGTTTTAAGCTGGGAGATTTTGATATTTCAGCAAACACCATAAAGCTGTTTGACAGCAATGAAAATACGGTTATTCAGCAACATTCCATATTAAGTAACTGGTGCTATGTTTTGCCAAGGTAGGAATCTGTTCACATTTCAGCAGAAATAAACATTTCTTGGAATGTTTTCCCTACAGATTGTGAATTTGATGCTAGTGATAAGAACACTTCTGTTTTACGGTCTGTTTTAAATTCAGGTATTCGTTGTTGTTGTTTTTATTATCTCATTGTTAAGGAAAATAAGAAAAATAATCAACAAAACATAAATTACACATTTAAATACTATTTTGATTTTAGTAATCTTTGTGTTACTTATATGGTATGCAAGAGCATCAGTTTTTCTCCAATACAGTTTTAGCAGAAAGTCAATTTAAAGAAAAAGTATTTTCACCTTCACCATGAACTACCTCCATTTTTACCTAATATTTTTCATCATTAAATATAAGAGAAGTAATGATGCTTGTTCACTGCTAGTGAGTGTTGAAGAGAAATGGCACTTGTCATGTTCTCTACCATACTTCAGAAAATATTGCTATTGTTATATTATAAACTTATGAGCTAAAGGTATTAGTCCTCAAAACATAAAAATAATCTCTAAATACTTCAAATGCCAAAAATAGGATTTTTTTTCCCCAATAGACCAGTATATTTTCAACTAGATTTTATTACACCCTTTCTAAGCATCCCTTCTTTACCTGTACACAGCATGAAAATGGGTCAGATCATAAACATCAGCCACATAATTCCTCCAGAATCTCCTTTCCGTTCATATAAGGATTTTCAGATGCACTGGAAGAGTCTGGTAAGAACCACATACACTGCTCTCATTTCTCCCTCCCTTTTTTGTGCCTGTTGAGTTTGTCCTTGTAATACCTGTTTGTATTTGGTTTATCCAAGTATGGATATATTCTTCCTGAGGATCTCGAAGAGAGAAAAATATACTTGAGTGTTTACTTCAAACCAATAGGGGAAAGGTTCTTTACGTATCCTTTCAGAATATATTTGTTACGTTTCCTCTCCTACACTTCTAGCAAAGCTCTGCTTTTCATTTTTGAGTATGCCACGTTCCCTTCTTTCATAATTTCATAGTAGTCAGTAGAGAAGTGTTTTACTAGACAAATTGAAACAAAATATTTAGTCAAGTCTCTGTCCCAGTATTGAATAATAGGAAGACAAATAGAACAATTTCCTTCACGGCTTCCATAAATGTGATAATGCCACTTTAAATGTGATGTAAAAGAAAGTGGTGTAGAAGAAAGTTAAATTGTGTCAAAATGTGGCCAACAAAGATTGCTTTTAAAGAGAATTTTCCTGCCAGGAAAGACTAGACTAAAGGTTACTTATATTGAGCAATCTTTGCTCTAATAGGTTAGTGTGGTATAAATGTGCTGAAGTCCTTCAACTTTATGAAGTTCAGGCCCATAAGGAATTCAGTGCTTTTGTTCGCCTTTTAAAAAAACATTTAGACAAACTCATGTTTTCTTCTCAACAAGGATGATTAGTAATTATAGAAATGTAAAGAAACTTGTTATGTGTCCCTGAACACTTACTCAGGTACCCTGTAAGTTGCATCCGAAGTCAGCCAGTGCAGTATTTCCCCAGAACAGATGCAGAAAGTGTAGTGAACTCTTTTCTTTCTGACATGAAGAGCAATTTTTCACAGCTGTGTGGATATCCAGTAAAGATGACAAGTAAAGCACTTTATGCTACAAAAGAACTCTCCAGGCCTTCAGTGCATGTAAGACTTTTTTTATAAACATATTAATGGCACATACTTTTTCATTGTATGAAGTGATCTTTATCATATTCAGAGCATAGTAAGAGCACAAAACTATGCTTTTCACAACCAACTATCAATCCTAGAACTTTAAATTAATGTGCAAGCTATAGTATTTGCCATTGTGAAGTTATTAACATTATAAATACATAAAAAATGGACTTGATGTTAATTATTTGCTATTAGTATTTGCAGTTCTATAGATTTTTTTTTACAGTTTGAGATCCAGGACTTTCTCAAATCTCCTCCATAATAATAATAAAAACAGTAATAACAACAACAATAACAACAGTAACATTATTACTATTGTTTGTATTTCAAGGACATGTAATGACAGGACAAGGAGGAATGGCTTTAAACTGACAAAGAGTAGATTTAGATTAGATATTAGGAAGAGATTTTTGCTGTGAGCATGGTCAGACACTGGAACAGGCTGCCCAAAGATGTGGATTCCCCATCCCCGGAAATGTTCGAGGCCAGGCTGGCTGGGGCTTTGAGCAACCTGGTCTGGTGAAAGTTGTCCATGCCCATGACAGTGTGGCTGGGACTAGATGATCTGTTAGTTCCCTTCCAACCCAAACCATTCATGATTCTATTATTGTTATTACTAGCAGTAGTAATAGTAGTACAATTTATTTAAAAAGAGGACTATGTGGACATAAGCATTTTAAAACATTCAAGTTGTAAGATTTACTCCATGTCTGGTGATAGAAAGGAGGCAAGTAATCAAAACTCCTATAATTTGAAGTTGTGACAAAGGCTGAGGCTCAAATTTTTTTGGTAGTAGTGTGTGAAAGAAGAAATGAAGTAATTAATTCTGAACAAAGAATAGTGACAGAAGTTGCAGAGTTTCTAAAATACTATAATCCTCTTTCAGAAAGCAGTTCTTGTTTATGTCTCTCCAGTGATCAAAGCTAGAATGGGTCCTCTGTGTCATCTGCAGTTTTTATAGACATCCAAACTGTCTTTTGCTCAGAATACAGATGCTCTTAGAAGTCTTAAGGGATGAGGAACCCTGTCAGTCAAACCCTCTGCAGAACCCTTCAAAAGGGGTAGACATTATCCAGTTGGAAAGCACTAAACCAAGATAATTAAGTCTTTCCTTCTGAGAAATACTATATTCTAGCATATTTTTTAAACAAAGAATTCGGAGGATTAAATAAAACCCCTTAATATATAGTGACAACTAAATATTGTTTTAAAATACAGTCATTCTAATCCAAAACACAAAATTGTATGCTTATGTATTGTGATGTGTATTAAGTTGATATCATATAGTGATGCATTAGGTGGCACTATTAGACCGTTAAATCCAGTTTATTCAATTTAGCAGCTCTTGGTGTGTTGCAGGAAATAAAACCTAAGCATACAAAATTGGACGGTGAGATGGTTTGTGTAGTATCTCTAACGCAGGCTCCTCCAAGAAAACCGACTTTGCCTGGAATTCCTTCACCTTGCAGTACAGAAAATAGCCGCTGGATGGAGTGTTTGATCCAAGAGCCAGGAGCACACAGTTTTTCGAGTAAGACTACAGGAGGGGTTAGCATTGAAGCAACAGAGAAGTCAATGAGCAAGAAGCAAATACCTGGCGTGCCAAAGTTACCAACGGCAAAATCTTTAGCGCCACCTGTAAACTCAGCCTTTGAATCCACGCCCCCAAAAGTCAGCAAAATTATACCAATTTTCAAAGGAAAATTGATGCAAATGAATGGAAAGATCACAAGTCAAACAGATAGGAAGAAAAGGGAAAATGCTGAATGGCATTCACCAATAAAAAGTGTGGGTGTTTCATCTTCTATGCTCTCTGTGCACAAATCCAGCATAACTCAGGTTTTCAAACGCATTCAAGACGTGCCAGTCAAAACTCCTACTGACAGCAGGGCCCTTCAGGTAAAGAACACAAAGACACACCCAAAACATGGTACACCCATATTCCGATGGAAAACCCAGTCTAGTGGACAAATTACTAACTCTGATTTTTCTGAAAACTCTGCTTCAGTTGGGAATCCAAGTGAAGTCAATCACAAAAAGGCAAATTCTCTGTTCTTTCTTAAGCATGTTGGGCCAGTGCTTCAGAAGTCAAGCACCAGTCCATGTCTGAATACACATGAATCTCCTACTTCCAGTGCAAGAAGGGGGAAAAAGTTTGCAAGTCAAAATACTACTCGATTTTTTGAGAAACAACACCAGTCAAAGGAAGTGCATTTGCAAATTTGTAAATTAGACAATGAAATGACAAATTCCAGTTTGCCACTGCAACAAACAAAGAGATCAAATAAAGGAGCTGGGTTAAATATTCATGAATCTGTCTTCAAAGATACAGTGTGCATGGCCAAAAGTGAAGCATACAAAGCAGCATGCCACTCTAAGGACTGTACTGCTGAGACAACCAGTCATCATTCCAAACCTAACTTTGAACAGGTACAGTAAAGAACAGGTCTCATTCTCACTGCTTCTCACAAATTCAAAAACAACGTTAAGCAATAAAGAGCATGACTTTCATCATGTTCTACCATCATTCTCAAGATAGTTTTCTAAAATTCTACCATATAACTTAATGTTTTCAGCCACTGCTGCTTTTTTTTTTTTTTTTTCTGAAAGGGAAGATGATTTACTGTGTTTTATGAAATTAACACTTCTTTAATCTGGGACTTCTGTGGTGCAGCAATTAGTCTTCCTTTGTTTTAGACATTTTATCCAGGTCTGTGTGAGGTTAACATGGTGACATTTTTTTCTGGTGTTCAGTCTCTCTCCATATAAATCCATATTAATAGAATAATTCCTTCCTCCTGGAAGGAAATCTCAAACCTCATAAATTGTGTAGCACTGACAACAGTTGTGTGTAAGGCATTGTGCTGTTATACAAACATGGAAGTTTTGCAAAAACGTGTTTAATTACAATTTCACAAAAAGCACAAGTTGCAACAGGAACAAAATCTCACTGGCCATAAGGAAAAAAATCTTCAGTGTTAGAACACCTAGTCAGCTACTAGAACAATTTGCAGAGGGAGGTTTTGGGGTTTGTTAGCCTTCAAGATTTTCAGAACTTGACTGAATAGGGCCCAAAGCAAGGTGATCTGTCTTTGAAGTTAGCTCTGTTTTGAGTAAAAGTTATGATTATGTGACAGCTAGAAGTACTTTACCACCTAATTTTTCTGTATTTCTCCCTGCATTGCAATTAAATAAATAGTTGAGCTGATTTCAGTGCAATTTTTATGATGATATTCCATATATTGGGTACATGGATGAAATGTCTTGGTCTTATCATGCTTTTCATCTATACAATGTAACTTGGTGGGTTATCTCAGCTTTGTGTGATGATGGCACCTTCCAAAAAAGCAGGTAATTTTAAAAGTTCAGGTCTTGCTCAAAATATTGTGGGGTGTTTTTCTAATGAAGGTATAAACTTCTATACTTTAAGATGATTGCAGGGAACAAGTATCTGACATGTGAAACACTGACCTCAAAACCAACTTTGCCAGACATGGAGAACAACATGGAAGCATCTGTAAAGAAAGGTTGTGCCAGAAGAAGACAGGTAAACCCCCTCACTCCCCCCACACACACATGCACTCCTTAATCCAGTCCAGAAGGACCTGAATTAAGAGATAAAAAAGATACTTAAAAATTTTTAGTATGTTCCAATTAAAATGGGCAGGCTAAGGAATCTTACTGACCCCCCTGGATAAAATTAACCTTAACCAGGATAAAATTAATAGTAACCATCAGGTATGATACTGTCACTTGAACAGTTCATGCTCTGCAGCAAAAGATGCTACTGAAATATTTAATGATGTTGCTGTTTTTGAAGCAGATTTTCTGATTCTGCAGAAAAGTTCTATTCTGCCCAGTATAACTCTAGGCATTCTCAGTGGCTCTGTGAGTTTTTCACCTCAAGGACTTGAATTTAACATCATTCTGTAGAAATTACTTTTTTGTTGTTGTTATGCTTTTAAAGCCAAATACAAGACAATTCTGGATGTTTAACTGTAATTAAAAGAACACAGTCTGTGCTCTCTGTGCAGATCAGAAAAGGCCAGTGCAGCAGCCCCAGGGGCCTGCTGCAGGAACATGCTCATACCCCAGAGCTCGAGCTGCAGCAGGGAAGAGAGGAGTTTGTGTGGGAAGCGCCAGCCCAGCTGCTCTGAGCTGGCCCCATCCAACTGCAGCTGGGAAAGGCCCTTCCACAGGGCCACAACTGAGTCACTAGTTCCAGGCCCAGCACTGCAATGCTACAGCAGTAGAGTCACTCTCACAAAGAGAAGGAAACCAGCAACTCAAAATAGCTGTTTATAAGAAAAACAGCCCTAGGGGTCTAGATATTGAGGTGGGGCTTCCACCACAATATGAATTAATGAATTCCTTTACCTGCCGCTGGGAATGATTCAGCCACACCAGGGCTTGTGAGCATGGAGAGCTTGTAGCTGGTCTGGCAGCACTGCTGGAATGGGGAAGGGGCACTGTAAGGAGTCACAAGTGCCCCATGCATTCCTCACTCTCCAGGCAAGCTCTGAGTAGCACAGGTGCCTTCCTGAGCCCTGCAAGCTGCTTTTGGGAAGTGTCAGGACACAGCAAGTTCTCACTGCCACATTGCCACTGCAGTGCTGCCACTGCTGGACTCGAGAGTTGTATGTACAGCTCTCAGGAAGTTTCATTGGTGTGTCAGGAATAGGAAGGAGACTTGTCTGTTAATCGGGGTAGGGATGGACTCTCTGATGCTTATTGGGCTGATTCCTCCTGTCCCCGGATTAAAATATAATGGTGCTAACAGGGGACACTGCTAAACACATCTCTGATGAGTAAGCCTTTGTCGTTACTGATCATCAGAAATTATAGTTGGTTTGGAAAGTCATGGTTATCAGCATATAAAGGGTATTTTCAAAGTAGCTGTGGTCCTAATTATATAGCCACTGTACTTATAAACATACTTAAAATTATTTATATTGCAAACCAGAAACTTTTATTAATTACTTCTTATTCAACTAAGCATTTCACTCAGAAGCAAATTTTTTAGTTGAATTTTTAGCTTACTATTCCCGCTTCATTTGCTTTATTGGTTTTTGCCCTTTTCTGTTTGTCTTGTTTTTGTAAGCAGAAAGAAGAAGGTTATTCAAAGTTAAAGAGAGCCAAAAGAAGTAAAACTTCTACTTAAGATGTTCTGGAGTATTGAAAGAAAACACTACATCTAGGTATGTTTATTCCAAATTTAAAATATTTTCTTTTATTTAAATAATATCACATCTGTAATAGTTCCTGCACTTTTGGATGATGATGATATCAGCTGCCTACAAAGTAATCACTTTACTAAAAATAAATGGCTTCTAGAGAAAATTGATGAGGTAACTGATGCAAAGGACACTAGAAAATAAAACATTGTGCTTTTTTTTGTGAAACACACGATGTTAAAAAAAGGCATTTTGTATGTACTAGAACTTAGATTTTGACATAAATTTGTACTTTGATTGTCTCATTTTTCTATCAGACTAAAATAAGCCTGTTTTTTGGGCTTCACTTGAATCTGAGCTGAAGGTAAAACCAAAAACCATTAATGTGGAGCTGTGTATATGATTTGATATCATTACAAGAAAAGTGACTAAATGCTCTTCTGTTGCTGAGATCTAATCACAGGACAAAATTGTCTGTCATGAAAATGGAGTAAATTTAGTTTTGTGACAACGTATTTCAACCCACATTGTGAGTGGTTGTCAATAATAGTCTTGCAGGGTAAAACAAGCTTGTCCTTTGAGCATTCCTTTGAATATCAAGAATGCAGCATTAGGATACAGTATAAGAAGCTCACCAGGTTTAAGGACTGAATGCCTGTCACAAGTGATCAGCAGTAAAACGTGCAGGAAAGAGTAGCCTATACAGTTAACTGTTTCAGAGATAAATAGGAGTTTATTTATTCAGGTGAAAATATTGATGTAAGCAAGATGGTCACACAGAACAGCACCAAAAAAAAGTATATGATAAAAAGCAAGTAGAAAAATAGAGCAATAAAGAATCAAAATATAAACTGTACATCTTTTAACCTGGCTTTTAGCTTCAATGGAAGTGAAAACAAGTAGCCATGTGTGCATTTTGTCTGAGAGATTCACTTTATGTCCTTCCTTTCCTTACTGGGATATATTTCCTCCAGTGAACAAGTATATCAGGTGTCTGCTTTTCCTAAAGGAAGTCTAGTATGGATAGAAGTTTTCATCTCTACCCTTCACACTTTGGTATTCAGCATATTCTGTCCCTGGGTTTAGCGTTTCATCTCTCCTGCTTCAAGCCAGGCAGTTCAGGCATGGTCCTTCTTCAGAGCTGTTCTGTTCTGGTAATCAGCATAGATATCCACAGGTCCAAAGTCTGTGCTTTGACTGAGGACTAATGAGCAGAAGTGGTGTCTCTGCAAATGGTCAGAACTTTTACTTTTTTTTAACTCTGATTTTTTTTCTTATTTATGAGTTAAATGCCACAGCATCAAGTTGATCATGGTAGATAACGCTTTAAACCCTGGAGAGAAAACAATGTCTTCCATCCAGTGTTTAAAATAAGATTTCCAAGAATCCCACTGGTAAGGGTTCTTCATTGGTGTTGATGATTTAAAAAAAAAAACTGGAGCTAAAACAACTTCTGCTGTTGTATTCTTGCCTACAGTTTTGATTCTGAAAAGCTGGGCTCTAAATTCCTTCATTATGTATTACTACACATGCATTCAGAGTGCATGTTTTCATTTGAACACTTGAGAATTACTTGTGAGTTTTCAAATTTACTGTGTAGCAAGATTTATGTGTGAGAAGTTCTTACATTGGAATTCAGTGATGTAGTCAGCAGGGAGGACTTTGTTCTATAATTCATGACAAAAAACCCATTTTTTTACAATTATCTTGCAATAATGGTTAGTTTTCATGACTTATGTGCCAAGTTGCACAGCCTCTTGACTTGTCCAGGAAATCACAGCAAAATCCTAATTTTTTCTTTGTTTTCTTGGAGTGTGTTAATAAAGCAACGTGAGAGAAGTATTTAACATTTTAAGAAGCTGAACATTTGATTCTAATACTAAGAGTCTTCATGCTTAGTTCTTTATTAATGGAAGCCACCCTATAATTTTCAAGGTCAAAAACTACTGTGAAAGGCAAATTTTTTTCCTAAGATAAATCAGAAGATCAGTGCTTCCAAAGGAAGGCATATACTACTACAGAAAGATGTTTTAAAACAAGAATTTGAAGTATTGCAAATGTTGGTGGAAGAACAGACATTAAAAATGGCAGCACTGAAGCTTCCAAGCTTTTGCCACTGATCTGCAAAACTCTTCCTGTTCTGCTCCTGTATTATAGTGAGATACTGACCTTTGATTTCAGTTGCCAAATCTCATTTAGCAAATGAGAAGCTATAAATTCATCACAGACAATAACAGTAGCAGAATTTCACCTGAAAGTGAAACCTGCTATTACTGTAAGGATGTTGTGTGAATATAAGAGTAAGGTAGGAGGTCCACACATCTGGAATTATATAAAAATTTCTCAGCAGTTTTGGGCTGAGATCTGTCAGACTGTTTCTTCTAAATAGTGCATCCCTTAAGCCAACATTTAGGAATTTATGTTATAATTTGAAGGCTATTCTACAGAAATTTCAAAGCTGTCTTTCAAATGTTTTCATCATGTGAAATGGCAGGCTAAAATATTATCTTTCCTATGTAGTGAAAATATGTGTTTCATTAAAAAAAAGATTCTGAGAATATTCAATCTTTAAATGTAAAAGCAATTTCTTTTATGATGGGGGAAAATACCCTAATCAAATCTAGTAGCAGAAATAACCTTTGAACTGCATGCATCAGTAGGTTTTTGGTGTCTAAGTACTTAAGACATACCCCCAAAAAGAGTTGCTATTGTAATATCTTTTTCTGTTATGCTATCCATTTTTCATTGCTATGGGATTGTTTCAGGTTAGGACTTAATTTATTGCATGGTTGACCATTTACAAATGCTAAAGAATGGTATCTTAAGATTCCATCTCTTACTTTCTTGTAGAGCTAAGAATGTGGTTTGGCTGCCTGACCTCAGCCAAAGGTTGGTTAAGAAGGTGTGAATAGACTTCTGCAGGAGAACCTACTTCCAACATCACAACTGACAGTAGTATTTTGAGGACTTGAATCTTAAAATGCCCAGATCTAAAAGGATAAATCTGTGCAAAATACCACATATTTATGATGGAGAGAATTCTTTCTTGTTCTGTATAAAAATTCAGACATTTAATCTGAATGCCCTGAACCCCAACTTTGTAAACGGAATGCAAATACAGATGTGGGAATACAGCAATATTTTTTCCTTCATATTAGCCAGAGTTCTCAGTTGTCTTTTGTTTTCGTCTATGCTCTGAACTTTTTCTGTGTTTTCCTCCATTCAGGTTCCCAAGAGGGCAGTAACATACTTCAGAATCTCTGAACTTTGTGTATTTTGCTGTTTGCCATTGGTAGCTGTTTCTGGATGAAAATTTGAGGGTTAAATACAGTCAAATTAATCCATGTATCATCAACTTCTTCAGACAGTTCAGGTTAATAAGCCTCTAATGCATATGAAAATTAAACTAAATTGTTTAGTTTTTGAATTACATTATGTATGTCCTGCTACTTGCTTACACAGTTAATCATTCTTCCAAATTATTTTGTTGTTTCTAGTCAGGTTTTTAAAGATAAACTATTTAATTCTTTGTTACAGTGCCTGGGCCAGTTTGAGTCATCAGTAAAAAAATCCCAAACAAGTTTTCTTTATCAAGTCAAATGACTGGAGAATAAACAATTTTATTCCAACAGAAATAATTTAAAGGCTGGATTTGAGTCAAGCTTCATTAATTCTCATTGTAATTTTTGATGACTTTTCAGATATGAAACTGCTGTGTAAAATATTTTTTTAAGTTTAGTTCCCCATTCTTCAGGAGTTCTTAGAAAACCTGTAGTTGCCCTTTGAGGAGTTTTGTTGCCGTGTGACTTCAGTGACCTACTGCAATGTGCAGATACAAATATATACACATATGTAAGATTGTTGCCTCATAATCACTGCTTTGGGGTAACTATTATTGTGTTCCCTGGAAAATAAGAATCAAATGTCACACTAGCTCCTAAACTCAAATGTTACAGAACTGTAGTTTAACACTTGTTTTGGACATACATCTGCAAATCTTTTTTTATGAAGGGATTGATACAATGGGACTTTGTGCCTTTCATTAAACTTTTTTTTTTTTTTTAGGTTCATATTGCAATAGCTGTATTTCTCTTCACTTCATTTTTCCAAACTGGATTTTGTCCTACTACTATGACAACTTTTGTTTTGTTTTGTTTTTTCTTGAATGGTGACTGTCAACATAGTTTTAATACATAATACAAAAACAAACAAACAAACAAAGAAAAAAACCCCAAACAGCAAGCCAAGACAAATACTAAAAGTGCTATATGCTCAGCATGAAATCAAATTATATTTTCATTTTGTCTGGAAGCTGGTATAAAGGCTTCTTTTCAAATGCTGTGGTTTAGTTACCTTTCATAGGTTTAACTGTATGAAACTGATCTTTCTCCTGTCTTGCATGGAAAAGCCTGTAGAGTAGTTGTATTTCTACCATGCTATATAAATTAGTGCTTCGCCTGATCTGTTTCCTATTGTTGTTTTTAAAATGCTGCTGGTTGCCAGCATTTGTCTTGTATCATCACAGAAGTAATTTTGCACAATTTTTGCATTTTTTTAAATGTTTACATCGTTTTGTGTTATCTGTTATAGAACTAAAAATACAGAAAAAAATTATTTATCTCAGCTCCAGTGTGTTCTGTTTAAATAAACTACTGAGTTACTCATCTGTGCTAAATTGCCAGCTATTTCCTGGTCTACACTGTGAGAGAGAACCCTGTTACTCCACCTCACCCACCCACCCATTCCTTGTGAATGCATGGGAAGGTGTTGATAGTGAGCGGAACCACACTGGGTGCAGGAGTGGTGGTGTTGGAAATGCCACTAGTGGGAAGGAAGGATAAGTGCTGTGACTGCCTTGGGAGGATTTGGTGATGCTGAGGGGACCTTTGCCACTGCCTTACTCTTCACTTTTCATGTGGAAGGGTTGTAAGAGCCCACCTCAGTTTCTGCTTTTGATCAGTTCTTACTAACTGGGCAGAACACCCTCACTTCTGGCAGGTGCCAGAACCTGTCAAAGCACAGGAACCCTCAACATCCAGGATCACATACAGCTTCCACATGTGATATCTGCAGGCTTGGGTTCTCAAGATTAAAGAAACAGATTACTCCACAGGTCCCAAAATATATAAATGTATATAGGAACAAGTGAAAATGTAAAAGGTTAAAACAATTCCCAGATGTGAGAAACTGGTGAAGAGGTCAGCTGGCAAAAATTATCTTTTTCACTGACATCTGATGAGTTTTATAGTGTTTTATAGCTTTGCCATCAGTTCTCAAATCATCTGATTCCATATCTAAGTAGATTCAGATTTACATTTGAGAATGCTTTCTTTGGCCTCTGTATTAGAAGATTCAGCAAATATTTGTTGAGCTGAAGTATTCATGATGAGTTCACCATATTTAGTAAATATGCATTTCCAGAGAGTGATCTTTCCTCACATGTATTCCTAAATTGACACTGTTCTTATTCTCCCTCATCTTCACAGATGTAAGCTAGAGGAAATGTTTATGTACTTTAAATTGACGTGTGCTCAAGCCCTCTGTCAAATCTCAATTTAAAAGTTTACAGATTATTTTACAGGTGCTTTTAACTGTAGGGAAGCTTGCTGTTTAGTTCCTTTGGTGCCAGCTTTATACCAGCTTGTGGTATAAAACCAGATGGTTTAAAAGTAATAAGATTAATATCTCTGGGAGTGTTATGTCACTGTTAACACAAAGTAACTCAACAAATACAGCACTTTAAGAACTTTAGGCTTAATGTAGTCTGCATGTTTTGTTGCACCAACATGTTGCACCAACATGCTCATCTTTCCTTCATGGAAAACCAGGTACTGAAGAATTATGGCATCAAAAAAATCTCCTGAACTAGTTCAGGAAAACATTTTATTCCAGCCCTGAAAAGCACACAGTGTTCTTCTGTCTCTTTGCAAATCTGAATGGTTCTGTTGACCCATGCACAGCACAGAGCAGCAGCTCAACCTCTCACTTAAAAATTTGCAGCCAGGATGAGCAAATCTGTTTCCCCTGGGATCTCTGCAGAAATTGATGCAAACTCTGAACATCTTAATCCCCCCAGGGTATTATTAGGATCTGGAACTTTGCTGGAAAAGATGTGAAAATTCTTTTCAAAGAGCTTACAGATCCACCAGGAACACACATAGCTTCTTGCAACCACTTTTTATTGTTCAAAACAGTGACAACAAATTTCTTATTCTACCCAATATGTAAAAGGGATTTAAGCCTGTTCCAGTGGGAGAAGTTCAAAAGTATTGAAGGCTAATACGTCTGATCTTCTTGCAGGAAGCTCTTTGTCTGGGAATAATCACTTTCAGAGAGACACTTCTGTTCCATTGTGTTAACAGCTAAATATGTGTGTATATTTATATATAAACATGCACACACATGTCTGTGTGTGTTAGAGCATCTGTGTGAATATGCACCTACATACATGTGCTGCGCTTCATTAGAGATGTTTAAAAAATATGCCAAGTGTGTGTAATGTGAAAAACGTTTTTCTAATACAGGCAGTTCAGATTGGGCAGCAGTTTTGGGAAGTTCCCTGTTGCTAAGTACCAGAGGGTGGAGCAAGAGAGATAATTTTTTCCCTGATTCCCCTGTTCACAATAAAAAATTTGATTTGCAATGACGGGAGAGGCTGCCAAAGCTCAGCTGGGCTTTAACTGGGCTGAGCTTAATTAAATACTATTAAACCATCAACTATGATCTGTTGAATACATCAACAGTAAGAGAAGTGTGCTGATAGCTGCAGATTGCAGTATGGTTATGGCAGGAAATCTTGGGTGATGCCAACTCAGTAGTGAAGGTAAAACTTTGACTCTTCTCTGTGTGCCAGGACCTACCTGTTCCAACACTGGTCTGTGCACTGCAGGTGCTTGGGATGTGAAAGTGGTCATCTGGGTGGTTCCAAAGCTGAACTTTAACATACATAAGCACAAAGCATGTTGTTACGTGCTTCTCAGCTTCCACAGTCCAATAAAATACATTTCCCTGAATTATGCATAGTATCACAGCACAGATTTTGGCAAGAGGGAACATTTGTCTTGCAAAGCAGTTGGCCACCTGTCTTAGTACAGCCAGTAAGTACCAGGGAATGGTGACCAGCAGGTTGAGAGAGGGGATTTTCCCCTCTACTCTGCTCTCATGAGACCACACCTGGAGTGCTGCATCCAGCTCTGGGCCTACCAAGACAAGAAGCAAGTGGACCTTTTGAAGCGGGCCCAGAGATGAAGATGATCAGAGCGCTGGAGCATCTCTGTTATGGTAACAGGCTGAGGGAGCTGTGGTTGTTCAGCCTGGAGGAGAGAAGGCTCTGGTGCCTTCCAGCCAAAGGGTATAAGAGAGCAGGAGAGGGACTGTTTACAGAGGGCATGGAGTGACAGAACACAGTAATGGCATTAAACTGAAAGAGGCAGGTTTAGGTCAGATGTTCAGAGGAAATTCTTCACTGTGAGATGGTGAGGCACTTGAGAAGGCTGCCCACAGAACTGTGGGTACCCCATCTCTGGAAGTGTTCAAGGCCAGGTTGGATGGGGCCCTGAGAAACCTGGTCTAGTGGAAGGTGTCCCTGCCCGATGGGAGAGGAGGTTGGAACAAGAGGGTCTTTTTGGTCCCTTCCGACCCAAAACATTCTATGATTCTATGAAATCAGCTTAAACTGCTCAGTGCCAAAGTGTTCTCCAGAATAAAAGTAAGAAGGGTTATTCTCCTGGAAGGTGCAAGCAAGAAAGCCCTATATCTACACATCCAAAAAAGAAAGGTACCTATTTAATTTTTTATGTCGCCTTTTTTATTACATTATGCAGCAGAAATATTTTTATTGCAACTGAAGCTTCACATCTCTGGGATGTTTCAAAGCACATGAGGTAAATGAAACAAAATTAAACCTCTGCTGTAGAGGGAAAAAAAGGGCAATAAATCATAATTCAAAACTATAGCATGTAGGTCTTAGTCTTCAAAATAAAATCAGAAAATTAACTTCATTTATTTTCCATTTATACAATGGAAAATAATATGGGAAGGATTAAAATGGAACCATGGTAAAGCAGATAAAATTCTGCAGCTTACTGTGCAGCTTTTAATGCATGTGGCCAGCACAGTAAAGTACTGAAGTATGTGTAAATTCAAACATTTGTTAACCAAGAAAATTCTGTAGCTCTCCTTGTATTGCAAGAGAGACTTAAGTAAGGCTCAGTTCCATAAGTTTGTGTTTACTGGGAGTTCGGATGCTGTGAAGGCTGCCAAAAGCTTTTCATTGTATATTAGATTTTGCAGCTCCTGTAGGAATGCCCGCAGTAAAATACCACCCGAAGTGAGCACGTTGTCCTAGGTTATTATTTTTCAGTCTCATACTACTAGTTGAATACTCTGCCTCTGCAGGTTTTTTTAATTTAGAAAGAATAACAATAAAAGCCAAAATCTGCCCATCAGTGAAAGTAAATGCATTCCAGTAATGGAAAACACATAGCTCCCAATACCTGGGCACCCAGCCAGCCCAGCTTGGTATTAATCATACATATTCATTAATTCTCATTTAGAGATGAGTCAATTGATGTTAGCATATAAGTGCACACAGTGTGAGCCACCATTCAGCTGTAAAGGGAAGAACAACACCAGTTTGGGGATTTTGTGTGCACTGGGAATACTGGATAAGCACACATCCCTTGGCCACTGGCACGCCTGCATCTACAGAAGCCCGAAGCTGCAGCTGGGTGAGGGGTGCTGAACCACACTCCCTTGTGCCCTGCACTCCCCTAGCACAGCCAGATCTGCTGTCCTTTGTACCAGAATGCCAATTCTACATATTTTCCCAGGCCTTTTCTGGGCTGGAGGGAGCCAGTTGTGTGGGAGTGGGCAAGAAATGGAGTAAAATCACAAACTCCTTTAGAAAGCTGATTTACATGTTCGATATATGACTACAGAGATTAATTTATTTTAAATTACTTAAATTAAAAGGCTAAAAGCTACTTATTTGCTGCATTGTTAGTTAGTGATAATTAGCCTGAGGGAATTTGTCATGAGAATTATGCTGGGAATTTCAGTACTCTGAACACCTTAACTGTTGCAGCTTTATGGAGAAAAGTTCTCATCCACTGGGATCTTTTCAAATATTAATGTAAATTTTAACATAGTACTATAGAAAAAGATTTCTTTTGAAATATTTGTGTTTTTTCCGAACTTCAGTTTAAAAAAAATACTATTTTTATGCTATTATATGGAATTTTAAACTCAGGATGGAGATCTAAAGCAGTCACTTTGACAACTGGAAAGGAGAAGAGAGATCTCACTGAAGGTCTCTGTAGATTAAATAGAGAAAGATACAGAGAAGGAAAGTTTTTTGGTGAACTAAGCCCATTCCTTGCCAAGGGGGAATACACCCCCCTGACTGAGTACTCGCCTAGCTGGAATCTCATCTGAACCTACTGTGTTGTGCATCAGTAATGAGATAGCATGGAAAGTATGCATCATTAATTTTTAAGAGAACTACTGTTAGAAG